GCGCCCCATCACTGATGTCAGTGGGAGGAATAGTGCCCCATCATTGGTGTCAGTGGGAGGAATAGTGCCCCATCATTGGTGTCAGTGGGGGGAATAGTGCCCCATCATTGGTGGTGTCAGTGGGGGAATAGTGCTCCATCATTGGTGTCAGTGGGAGGAATAGTGTCCCATCATTGGTGTCAGTGGGAGGAATAGTGCCCCATCATTGGTATCAGTGGGAGGAATAGTGTCCCATCATTGGTGTCAGTGGAGGAATAGTGCCCCATCATTGGTGTCAGTGGGAGGAATAGTGCCCCATCATTGGTGTCAGTGGGAGGAATAGTGCCCCATCATTGGTGTCAGTGGGAGGAATAGTGCCCCATCATTGGTGTCAGTGGGAGGAATAGTGCCCCATCATTGGTGTCAGTGGGAGGAATAGTGCCCCATCATTGGTATCAGTGGGAGGAATAGTGCCCCATCATTGGTGTCAGTGGGAGGAATAGTGCCTATCATTGGTGTCAGTGGGGGGAGGAATAGTGCCCCATCGTTGGTGTCAGTGGGGGGAGGAATAGTGCCTATCATTGGTGTCAGTGGGGAGAGGAATAGTGCCCCATCGTTGGTGTCAGTGGGGGGAGGAATAGTGCCCCATCGTTGGTGTCAGTGGGGGGAGGAATAGTGCCCCATCGTTGGTGTCAGTGGGGGGAGGAATAGTGCCCCATCGTTGGTGTCAGTGGGGGGAGGAATAGTGCCCCAACGTTGGTGTCAGTGGGGGGAGGAATAGTGCCCCATCGTTGGTGTCAGTGGGGGGAGGAATAGTGCCTATCATTGGTGTCAGTAGGGGGAGGAATAGTGCCTATCATTGGTGTCAGTGGGGGGAGGAATAGTGCCCCATCGTTGGTGTCAGTGGGGGGAGGAATAGTGCCCCATCGTTGGTGTCAGTGGGGGGAGGAATAGTGCCCCATCGTTGGTGTCAGTGGGGGGAGGAATAGTGCCCCATCGTTGGTGTCAGTGGGAGGAATAGTGCCCCATCGTTGGTGTCAGTGGGGGGAGGAATAGTGCCTATCATTGGTGTCAGTGGGGGGAGGAATAGTGCCCCATCGTTGGTGTCAGTGGGGGGAGGAATAGTGCCCCATCGTTGGTGTCAGTGGGGGGAGGAATAGTGCCCCATCGTTGGTGTCAGTGGGGGGAGGAATAGTGCCCCATCGTTGGTGTCAGTGGGGGGAGGAATAGTGCCCCATCGTTGGTATTAGTGACACAAATGATGGGGCACTATTCCTCCCACTGACACCAATGATACTTACCTTGCTGACCCCTGCTCCAGCCTGGGCTCGCTCTCTCCCTCTCCCATCTACAGCCTGCAGAAGCAAAATTTGCACTTACCTGTCAGCTGTCTTCCTTCTCTGGCCTCTCTCCTCTTCACTCGGTCCTGCAGCTCCCTCGATCTTCTTTGATCTGCGCGCTCTGCCGCTCGGCTCCTCCTCTCCAAGCTCCACCTCCTCGCCGGTGATTGGCCGCCTGTGTGCCTCTCCTGAGCTACAGTTCCGGTGGCCAATCAGCGGCGAGGAGGCGGAGCTGTTGAGTGATCCCGGAGGTGTGGCCAGGTTACAGGGGCAGCATATCATCCCGCCCACAGATCACAGAGCAGCGGTGTCTCGGTTCCTAAGACCATCGGATATGTGTTTTCCGATGGTCTTAGGCGACCCCTGGGAAATGGTCGTTCGACCCCCAAAGGGGTCGCGACCCCCAGGTTGAGAACCGCTGCACTACAGTCTTAGCAGGCTGCAAATGTTTTTTTACAGGGCATATTTCCTGGATTTGCTTGATTTTTTTTCATCGCCTGCCCCTAACCACCTGTATTATATTCATAGTAAGCTGCATGTGTTTTATCACAGGGGATATTTCCTAATGGTGGTTGACTGCAACTGAGACTGTCCCTGTCTACATGCAGTACACTAGTAATCAGCCTTTTTATGTGAAAACAGTGTAATATTCCTTGGCAATGTGCAACAGAGTCAAACATTTTTTCCCCCCTTTGGTTATGTTATGTGGTGACAACACTTTGGACCTGTGTCCCTCAAAGTGCCCAATAAGGACCTTTATATCAGTATTGCCAGCTTTTAAAGTTTATATGAGATTTTAATGGCTAGGTTTGAACAAACTGTAGTTCTTTGAATTGCAATGCTGGGGTACATTTTCTTATGTGCCCTGCCTGTGTGCACTGATCTGTACACTCAAAATCCTGTTAAGGAGCAATATCTTAGACAACAACTGATAGCTAGCTCTTCAATTGTCAATACCTTAGCTACGTATATCTATTACCTTTGTCCTTTTCATTATAGGAATAAAAATGCATGAATACTGTGCACCTAAACTACCTCACATTAAATCGCACACATTCCCTGTACCTCCCTATCCTCACAGATAAAATACAATTTAGGCATACACCCAGATTAAAACTGTCCTGTTACTATCCAATTTAACACTGCTGTACACTGTGCAGTATCTGAACCAGCATGTGGGTTTCAGCACTATAACAAGTCATGTTTTTGTCCTTTTTATCTTGTAGCCATCACCATTGCAAGGTAAATGTATGAGATGATGGCCTTATCTTGAAAGGAATTTCTTTTTTTTGCATAGGGACAATATGGTGTTTAGGCCTAGGACTTCCTTTTTCTAAAGGTAGTATCCAGTTTCCATCACTGCCCTTGCATGTGTTGCTTCAACATACAAGTAAAAAAGATAAAAATTTGAAATATTTAAAAAGTTGTAAGAATGACCATAGGACTTACCAACGTTTGAGTTTCAGCACTATAAAAACTCATGTTTTTGTCCTTTCTATCTTGTAGCCATCACCACTGCAAGGCAAATATATGAGATGATGGCCTTATCTTGCACGGAATTGATATTTTTGCATAGGGAAAATGTGGTGTTTAGGCCTAGGACTTCCTTTTTCTAAAGGTAGTATCAGGGGCGGACTGACAACTCATGGGGCCCCCGGGCAATAGGGGATCATGGGGCCCCTGTGTCCTTGCCCAAACTCAAAAAAGCCTATGAAAATGGTATCAGGGGCATCTCATGGGGCCCCCTACTGACCCCTGGCCCTCATGTTTTTGTCCTTTCTATCTTGTAGCCATCACCACTGCAAGGCAAATATATGAGATGCTGGCCTTTTCTTGCAAGGAATTCATTTTTTTGCATAGGGACAATGTGGTGTTTAGGCCTAGGACTTCCCTTTTCTAAAGGTAGTATCCAGTTTGCATCACCATCCTTGCATGTGTTTGCTTCAACATACAAGTAAAAAAGCTAAAAAGTATTTAAAAAGTTGTAAATATGACCATATGACTATTTCTTCTTGCTGTTGCCTGCCCTTTCCCCTATCCATTTGCTGCTGTGAGCTCTTTCCTGTTGTGGAAGGGCATGCAATCTTTTTTATTTTACGCAGGGACACCATGATTTCTAAGCCTAGGACATGCTTTTTTATCAAGGTAGTGCTCAGTTTGCATTGTGATCATTGCGAGTGTATGTTTGACAGCCTTACAATGAGAATTAAAAAGAAAAAAAAAAAAAGCGTAAGTATAATTTTTTTAATTTGTAAATAATGTGTCTATCCTTGCTATTTAAAATTGCCCTTCTTCTGGCCATTTTTGCATTGCTGTGTTGTCTGTGGTCTCCTATATCTTAGTAAATCACCCATCCATACTCTTTGGCATGTATTTAGAAAAGAAAATTGCATAGCAATTGTCCAGTGAATGCTCATGTACATTCATTTTGTGTGAAAAAACAAATGATATTAGAATGACTTGTGTGCTGGTTGAATGTTATTTAAAACGGAAAATACTGCATATGACCACTAGATGACACTAGGTATCATCTAAGCATGGGGAAGCAGAGTGGCTAAGTGGTTAACGCACTTGCAGTGCTAGGGTTATTGGTTCAAATCCTGACTACTGCACTACCTGCATAGAGTTTGCATGGTCTCCCTGTGCCTGCATGGGTTTCCTCTCATACTCAAAAGTTGTGCTGTAGGTTAATTGGCTCCTGTCTAAATTGGCAATAGTGTGCATATGTATGAATGTGAGTTAGAAACTTTAGACGTGAATGTACAATAAATATGTAAAGCACTGCAAAATTGATGGTGCTATATACAGTAAGTATCTATAATACAAATAAAAAGTGTCATAGGGTTTTTCTATGATATTTAGAACCATATAGTGGGCAAATTCAGCATTTTCTTTTTTAAATCAATGAAAAACATTAAACCAGCACAGAAAATAATAACATTTGTATTTTGTGACCCATTCCCACAAAACAAATGTACATGCACTTTCACTGACTGAATTGCTATGTAAAAATACACCCCATTGTCTCTAGTATATTTTGGGTAATTTTGACTGTCAAATCCCTTTTTTCCATGAAAAATCTGCAATATAAAATATTGCTATGAAAACAGTCAATAGATGTCTGTCTGACTTCTCTGGTATATTTTTTTTTGGTTTATAGAGATAGGTGAAGTTGAATAAATCAATTTTAGTTTCTTGTTCACCTGATTGACAGGAAAATAAAAACTCAAGTTATTATTATTATACAGGATTTATATAGCGCCAACAGTTTGCTCAGCGCTTTACAATATAAAGGAAGACAATACAGCAACAATACAGTTCAATACAAGAGGGATAGGAGGGCCCTGCTCCTTGGAGCTTACAATCTAGGAGTTGAAGAAACACTGTTATGTTTAACAAATCTATCATTAATCCAATCTCACCACCTCCTCACTACAAGCAGTCCCAAACAGTCCTCCTCCTCCATCTCACTGCCAGCACCCCAAAGCTTCTCCTCTGCTTCTGTGCAAAGTAATGGTGGTTGGGTCCTGACACTGTGCTGTAGCACAGGCCACAAAGTCACATAAAGAGGCATTTGGCAGAGCTGGCATGATTGAGGGATTTTTGTTTCTTACGCTCCATAAAGCTTATAAGTTAAAAACCTCCTGGAAACCCCCTGGAGACCCCACTCTGTCATTTTATGTGGCCTACCACTTCGTGGCTGAGTTGCTGTTGTTCCCAGTTGCTTCCACTTTGTTATAATACCACTAACAGTGACCATGGAATATTTAGTAGGAAGGAAATTTCACGGATGGACTTATTGCACAGGCGGCAACCTATCACAGTACCACACTTGAAATCACTGAGCTCCTGAGAGCGACCCATTCTTTCACAAATGTTTGTAGAAGCAGTCTGCATGCCTAGGTGCTTGATTTTTATACACCTGTAGCCATGGAGGTGATTGTAACACCTGAATCCAATGATTTGGGGGGTGTCCCAATACCTTTAGCAATATAGTTTATTACAAATAATATAAATATATTAGTAAATATACACTATTGCAGAGAAACAGTCACAATCCATTTTCAAGTTACAGAAAAAGTATAATTCAATATATAGTCAACCTTTTGGATTATTTTCTAAACTATTTTTGACAGGCTTGCAAGCCAAAAAAACACTTTGATTAGAGATTACCTTGCTTACCATCACAGATGCCAATAACAAAGGGAAGGAAGACAGAGAGAAGAGTTCATCTAGGTTAACAAGCAGGTTCCTGTCAATCAGATCTCCAGATATTATGAAGAGGAAGCTGTGAGTATCCTTCTTCCTGTAGACAATGCGGAATCCACTGCTCTAAGCAATTTAAGTGAAATAATAAAAATGCCTAATTAAATGCCTGGGGGTGTCCTAATCCTGCCTGTGAAAGAGGCACATCTCTGTGATGTAAAGAAAGTGCTGCAGAAACACTGATATTTAAAAAGGGAAAAAGATTTAAAATTGCTGGCAAATTAAATCTAATTGACTGCTTCTTGGTTTAAAAAAAAAAAAAATAGCACAAAGAGCCCCCCAACAGTCTGCTATTAATTTGAGGGGATACTTGGAGGGGTCTGACAGGTTGGGTCAACTTCAGTACAACCAGCCTGCCCATAGGGGGATCAAATCTCGTCTGGTTCCTGCTGAGACTTACTCCACTACTACCAGTTCATCTCTGCCAATGCTGGACAATTGTGTCTGCTTTGCTGGAAATATCAGAGGGGCTGTTGTAGCCTGTTTAAGGAGTCTTGATCTAATTAAAAGAGGCTTGTTATTCATTTTTAAAATGTGAGTGCATTAGAAGCATCACTTTAATATTAAAAAGCTTTTTATGCAGTATTACGCTATTTGGTATCCTTTCTTTTGCATTTTTCATCCATCCATCCATGAGTGAGAGTTTGGGGGAAATCAAGGAGGAATCATTAGCGGCGGCTTGGGAGGCTTTCATGTCCATATAAGCTGGTCATAAATTCATTGAATCACCCTCATCCATCCCTCCATGAGTGAGAGCTTTGAGGAAGTTAAGGAGGGATCATTATCGGTTGTTTGGGAGGCATTTAAGTCCATGGAAGCTGATTATAAATCTACCTAATGTGAGTGCAATGAAGGCCTTTTAAAAAAAAAATTTTTTGACCCTCATGCAGTATTAAACTATTGGCATTTTCTTCTATATTTTATATTGCCCTATGTGAAATCATTTTGGAAGGAGATTCAGTAAGAAATCAATAAAGGGATAAACATCTGAGGAAACTACAAACCATCTCTAAGCCTGTTTTTGATTCTCAAAGCCATATCAGCTTGAGAATCCACTTTATCTGGTGAGTGTGGGGGAAATGATTCACCACTGATGATGTGAGCATGCTGGAATATTTATGAAGTTGTTTTTCTATTTTTTTTTCATTTTATCATACTTTTTTGGGACACTGGACTTTAGTGTGGGACTTTTTCTTGGACTTATATATTATTATTATTTTAAATGTTATTTCTTATTATTTTCGTTGTGTCACTTAATGCGTATGGCAGACTTAAGCCTATAAAAGGCAAAAGTTTGAAGTCTGAAACACAGTGCTTTCATAAACTAAAGTCATGAGTTTATGGTTTATACCTACTTTAAATGCAAAAAAAATTGAAAGTCCCAACTGAAAGATGGCACTGCAAAAACTGTAGTTTATTATTGGGATTAATTTCTTATGAAACATAGTGAATGCTAGAACATTCACTGTAGAAATAAAACCTTAATGAAATATGTTTAAAAATTGCATATTATTTGGTTGCAAACATTAGAAAATATCTCTAAAAGGTAGCAAAATCTAATACCAGCAATAGGTGTAAATGATGAAAAAACCTTTTGCTGAGTTCAACTGCTAGTGGCTAAAGACCACAGTTGTAGATGTCTCTGGAATGACTTGGCATAAGCAATCCCCCTTGTTCTGTCCCCCTTTGTAATGTACAGCGCTGAGCGAACTATTGGCGCTTTATAAATACTGTATAATAATAATAATAATCCCTGCTTCTATGTACACAACCTAGTTAGTTTATTCACTGTTCTAGAAAATACCAAGAGCTAAGCAGCTAATCAGTGTGTATTCAGCAATTTCTAGCGTGTACCCCCCTCACTAGTATATGTTACACTTTGTAAATGCTGTATACTATGTAATTAAACTGAATAACAATATAGATACTGTACAACTCCTTATATGGCTGGACCAATCAAAGAGTATGGTTTAACCACTTGCCCTCCTGAGGATTTACCCCCCTTCCTAACCAGGCCTTTTTTTGCTATTCGGCACTGCACTATTTCAACTGATGATTGCGCGGTCATGCAATGCTGTACACAAACCAAATTTATGTCTTTTTTTACACAAATAGAGCTTTCTTTCGGTGGTATTTGATCACCTGTGCGCTTTTTATTTTTTGCACTATAAACAAAAAAGACTGAAAATTTTTGAAAAAAAAAACTATATTTTTTACTTTCAGCTATAAAAAATATATAAGACACAAAATAATACAAACAATAAAATCAAATAATTAAATATATATATATGTCACAAAATATAAAATAAAAAATGAAAAAAATGTCCCAATCAAAAAACATTTTTTTTATAAATCAAAATGAATGTCCAATTCCAATGTGCTCCAATTTAATATTCAACGGTGCTGTTTTACAAAATTCAGTGCGTTCACACCACCCGTGACTTCCAATACATACTGCACTCACCAGATGTATTGGACTCTTAAACATTCAGAGTCAAACAAGCTTTGTGGATATTAAATCCACCATGATCAAGGTTCTCACTGCTTTAGATCAAACTTCAACCAGGGATTTCCCACACATAACGATGGGTATAAGGAAAAAGTATTTAATTTATTAAAATCAAATGTGCTATGCACTCACATGTTAATAAATAATACACACCTTTATGTAATTCCCAAAAGACATATAATTTTAAATCTGTCAGGTACAGAGCTCCTGTATTGTTATATGTCTTTTGGGAAACCGCTAGGGAGGTTAATTGACAATTGCGCGGTCCAAAAAAAAAAAAACATTTTGAAAAAAAATATATTTTTTACTTTTGGCTGTAAAAAAATATATAGTAAACTCAAAGTTAGTCATAAATTTAGGCCAAAATGTATTCTGCTACATATTTATGGTAAAAAATCCCAATAAGCAAATATTAATTGCTTTGTGTGAACGTTATAGCCTTTACAAACTATAGTATAGATACTGCAATTTACGCCAATTTTTGCTATACAATGCTGCACTAGTTTAACCGTTTCAATACCGTGCAATTTTACACCTTCCTGCCCAGGCCAGTTTTCAGGTTTCAGCGCTCTCACACTTTGAATGACAATTGCGCGGTCATACAACATTGTACCCAAACTAAAATTTGATCATTTTCTTCACACAACTAGAGCTTTCTTTTGGTGGTATTTAATCACCACTGGGGTTTTTATTTTTTGCTAAATTAACAAAAAAAGACCAAAAATTTTGAAAAAAAAAAACACATTTTTCTTTGTTTCTGTTATAAAAGTTTACAAATAAATAATTGTTCTTCATAAATTTAGGCCGAGATGTATTCTGCTACATGTCTTTGGTGAAAATAACCCAAATTAGGATGTATTTTTTAGTTTGTAGGAAAGTTATAGAGTTCACAAACTATGGTATAGATCTGAATATTGATCAATCCTGAAGTACTGACAGCCAATCTAATATCTTGAGGTCCAAGAATGTCAGAACAGTACAGATATCCCCCAAATGACCCCTTTTTGCAGATTAGACAGTCCGACGTACTTCATAAGAGGCATGGCGAGTTTTTTTGAAGTTGTATTTTTTTGTCATAATTTTTCGGAAAATGAAAAAATTAAAAAAATATTTTCACTATTTTTTTTTTTTACATACTGTCACCAGTGCAGTACAGCATCATCATATAACTGGCATGGCGGTGAACAGCGACACTGACTGGTGACAGTATGAAAAAAAAAAATATATATATATATATATATATTTTTTTTTTTTTATTATATTTAATTTTTTATTACATTTTTTTTATTTTTTTTAAGATTTTTTTTCATATTTTACTATGACCAAAATAGTACAATGTTACCATAGTAACACTGTACTACTTTGGGGAAGTGATCAGTATTTTTTTTTTTTTTTTTTTTTTTACACAATTTGCTTATATCAAAGAATTACTTTGCTATAAGCAAGCATTTACCTGAATGAAATCGATTCATTCAGCTTTTTTTTTTTTTTTTTTTTTTTTGTGCTTAGCTGTGATTTGGTCACAGCTAATCACATGACATGTGCATGTGATTAGCTGTGACCATTCACAGCTAGGCACTAGTATACAATGGATGGCATCATGAATGAAGCCATCCATTGTATACAACTGTCATGTGACCTGCTGTGATTGGTCACAGCAGGTCACATGGTACCGGCAACGGGAGCCGGTACTCGGATCTGTCATCGGCCGTGTCCGAGATGCACGGGCCGGTGACAGATCGCACTGCTGCGTTGCTCTGCAACCGCGCAAACCGCGCATGTGCGGGAGCAGGCCAAATGGCGTGCACCCGGAAAGCTGCAGCGCTTTTCAAGCCGCCAAACGGCCATTGGCCGAGCGGCTAATGGTTAACTGACAATTACGCAGTCATGCAAAGCTGTACCCAAACAAAATTAATGTCCTTTCTTTCACACAAATAGGGATTTATTTTGGTGGTATTTGAACATGTGTGTGCTTTTTATGTTTCGCTCTATAAACAACAACAAAAAAAATTTGAAAAAAATTATATTTTCTCATTTCTGTTATAAAAAAATTGTCATAACTGTGTGCCAAAATGTATTCTGCTACATGTTTTTGGCAAAAAAATCCAAATAAGTGTATATTGATTGCTATGTCTGAACGTTAT